CGGTAGACCCCCTCCCCCCTCAGGGTCCTGCCCCGTCAGGTGTGTCCCAGGTAGACGCAGTCGAGCCTGTCAGGGTAGCTGTTGACTCTGGTGCTGCTAGAGGTGCTGAGCCTTCGGGTGTCGGGTCTGGAGGTGCTAAGTCAAGGGGTGCTGAGACTAGGGGTGCTGAGTCTGGGGGTGCTGAGCCTGGGGGTGCTGGGTCTGGGGGTGCTGAGCCTGGGGGTGCGGAGCCTAGGGGTGCAGAGCCTGGGGGTGCGGAGCCTGGGGGCGCTGGGTCTGCTCGTGTGGCCGCCGGCGGTGCTTCGTCAAGGCGGGAGCCACTCTCTCCACAGGAGCTGCGCGAGTGGTTTTCCCGCCGCTGGAGCCGTGCTCCTGGAGCTGGAGGTGCTACTGTTACTGCTGGTCCCAGAGGTGCTCGTACAGGCGGGTCCTGGAGCTGCTGGGACTGGGGGTGCTGTCGGGGCTACTGGAGTTGGTCCTGCTCGAGCTGCTGGCGGTGCTGGTGCTGCTCGAGCTGGAGCTGCTCGGGGTGTTGGCGCTGGTGTTTCTGCTGGCGCTGGTGCGTCTGGGGGTGCTGGAATTGGCGCTGTTGGAAGTGGAGGTGCTGCTGGCGCTGGTGCTGCCGCTGGGGGTACTGGTGCTGTCCTTGCTGGTTTTGGAGTTGCTGCGCGGCCGAGGCCGGGTTCTTGGTCTCCCGCCCTCTACTAGTCCTGCTCCTCCCTTAGAGTGTCCACAGCCTGTCCAGTCGCAGTCACAGTTATAGCCCACCTCCCCCCTACCTGCTCCTTCTCCCTACACTGGTCCTACTAGAGGTCTTGCTGAGCGTCGTGAGCCTGCGTCTCGTCCTGCGTTGCCTGTTTGTGCTGCTCGCACTAGTGGTCGTACTGCGCGTCCGCGTTCTCCTGCGGTCCAAGGCACACACCAGATGGCGCTGCGTCCTTCCACAGCTCCTCTGCGTGTCCCGTTGCCGTCTCCTCCAGAGTCCTCTCTTCCTACTCTTGCTGACTCGGAGTCTGACTCTCTTCGTGCTGTCAGTCCTTCTGTCACGCGTCTCCTGGCTACTGTTGTCACTGACCCTTCTTTTGAGTCCACTGCTGCGTCTGCCTTAGTGGCTGAGCTTGTCGACTTCGCTGCTCGCTCTCGTCTAGACTACGCCACTAGTCTTGTTGCTGAGTCTGAGTCTGTCTGTCCTCCGTCCGTCGGGGGTGAGTGTGCTCTTAGCACGGACGTCCTTGAGGACAGGCACGAGGAGTTCCAGTGCTTTGCTGCTGCTTTGCCCCATCTCGTGTCCACGCTGATTGCCCCTGAGGGAGACCCGGATGCACCAGACATCTCGACTACACGATCGTATGCTGAGGCGATCAAGGGTCCCTACTCCTCTCAGGGTCAGTCGGCCATGGACGCAGAGATGGCTTCCTAGAAGCCCGCAGGCACCTACGTTGACGAGGTTCCCCCTCCTGGGGCGATCATCGTCAGTGGCATGTGGATTTTCAGGGTGAAGCGGCCGCCGGGTTCTCCGCCTGTCTTCAAGGCGCGTTACGTGGCTCGAGGCTTCAGTCAGCGGCAGGGAGTTGACTACTTTCAGACCTTCTCTCCCACCCCGAAGATGACCACTCTTCGGGTGCTGCTACACGTTGCCGCTCAGCGCGACTACGAGCTTCACTCTCTTGACTTCAGCACGGCTTTTCTGCAGGGCAGCCTGCACGAGGAGATCAGGCTGCGCTGCCCACCTGGCTTCACTGGGTCGTTTCCTCCTGGTACCTAGTGGAGCCTCCGTCGGCCAGTCTACGGTCTGCGCCACGCGCCCCGTGAGTGGCACGACACACTGAGGTCTAGACTTCCGGCTCTTGGGTTTGCTCCTTCTACAGCCGACCCGTCGCTATTTCTGCGCACCGACACTTCTTTGCCGCCGTTCTACATCCTCGTGTACGTCGACGACTTGGTCTTTGCCACTGCTGACACTGCTGGACTCGCCCACGGGAAGTCCGAGCTGCAGAAGAGACACACGTGCACAGACGTGGGTGAACTGCGCAGCTACCTTGGCTTGCAGATCACCCGGGACAGAGCACAGCGCACCATTACCTAACTCAGTCACACATGGTGCAGCAGGTCCTTCAGCGCTTCGACTTCACGTACTCCTTGCCTCAGGCCACTCCTCTGTCTACTCGCCACTCGCTCTCAGCTCCGCCTTCAGATGAGTCCGTAGAGCCGAGTGGCCCGTACCCAGAGCTTGTTGGCTGCCTCATGTACCTGATGACCTGCACACGACCTGACCTTGCATACCCTCTTAGCATCTTGGCACGCTATGTTGCTCCTGGCAGACACAGGCCAGAGCACATGGCTGCAGCGAAGAGGGTGTTGCGCTACTTGTGCTGTACGTCGGGGATGGGGCTAGTGCTTGGAGGGCGACGTCAAGTGGTCCTCACAGGTCACGCTGACGCTTCTTGGGCTGACGACCAGGCTCTGCAGCGGTCGTCACAGAGTTACACCTTCAGCCTTGGCTCCGGCTCTGTTTCGTAGCGGTCTACCCGCTCGTCTTCTGTTCTCAGCTCCGGCTTTGAGGCTGAGATCTACGCAGGGGCCATGGCTGCATAGGAGCTACGCTGGCTCACCTACCTGCTGACTGACCTAGGAGAGTCGCCTCGTTCTCCTCCAGTTCTGTACGTAGACAACAAGGCCATGCTGGCCTTTTGTCGGGAGCACAGACTAGAGCACAGAACAAAGCACATTGCTCTTCGCTACTTCCTTGCTCGTGAGCTGCAGCAGCGTGGTCAGCTGCGCCTTGCTTACGAGGCCAACACTGCTGATATTTTTACCAAGGCCCTTCCGCCTTGTGATCATCAGCGCTTCTGTACGATGTTAGGTCTTGTGCCTACTTGGCCTCATTTGCTCACTTCTTAACCTTGCTGGTACTGTGATCTTTCTATACCTGCACTTGCTTGTTTGCCTTTACATATGATCTTGCATGTAAACTGGCCTTTTGGCCTTGCTCTTGTGCTCGGATTGTGTGGTGACTTTGTGATCCACCCTGAGCTTGCTTTGCTTTGCTTGACTGGTCTTGTGACCTGTTGTTCTCCCCCACTTTGCCTATGGGGGTGTGTCAAACTCATATTATATAGCTTGTGTAGGCTATACTGAGGTAGACACTATGGGGTACAGTTTCCTAGGGTTTCCTACTTGTACCCAACTTTGTGCTAGTTCATTTCATTCCTCAATTCTTACAGGAGCTTCTCACGAACCACTCGGCAGCCGCCATAACAGCAGCGAACGCAGCGGCGAATGTAGCAGCATCGTCAGCAGCAGCAGCGGCGACACCAACACTTAACCCAGTAGCAGCGGCAGTGGCTACAGTGAATCTTAAGGCGGCACGTCCGAGTCTACCGGAGACGTTCAATCCGAATGCAAGAGACACTGACGTTTGTCGATTCATTGCGACTCTCGAAATTCACTTCGAGGCCATTGGCTGTACGACCCCGACACACGATGCAATGCGGATTCGGCTCGCAGCGACACTGTTACGAGGCCCAGCGCTCGAGTGGATTTACAACAGCAATAAGATCCGAGGCAAGGGGTCATGGACGCAGTTTCGGGAAGCTTTAATTCAACGTTTCGAACCTATCAACTCCAGCTACATGGCGAGGCAGCAGATTCATCGACATAAACAGTTCAGTAGTGTAACACAGTACACGCAGCAGATGGAGTGTCAGAACATTATAGCTTATACATTTGTGTAGGCTGTAGTGGGGTAGCCCATAAGGGGTACAACCCAATTAGGGTTAGTAATTGTACCCAACTCTTTCATAGTTCAATCATTCTCGTTTCTCATCATGGTATCGAGTAGGTTCCCTAGTGGGAATGCTGCCTCGGGCCCACCACGAATTTTTTTTCCTGCCCGGAGGGCGCTTCACTCCCACCTGAGTCGCGTTTCGTGTGCCCTACCTACCTTCGAGCCGCCTTTAGTGGCCCCCCCTTTGGCCGCCCTTACGGCCCCTCGCGCTGCCCTCTAAGGCCCCTCGCGCCGCCCTTACGTCCCCTTACGGCCTCCTACGGCCCCTCGCGTCGCCCTCTACGGCCCCTCGCGCCGCCCTTACGGCCCCTTACGGCCCCGCCTAGGCCCACTACGGCCCCTCCGCGGCCCCGCCTAGGCCCCTCCGCGGCCCGGTCTAGCCCCTTACGGCCCCTCACGGCCCCGCCTAGGCCCCTTACGGCCCCTCCACGGCCCTGTCTAGGCCCCTTACGGCCCCGCCTAGGCCCCTCCGCGGCCCCGTCTGGCCCGTTACGGCCCCTCCGCGGCCCCGCCTAGGTCCCTCCGCGGCCCCGTCTGGCCCCCTTACGGCCCCTTACGGCCCCGCCTAGGCCTCTTACGGCCACGCCTACACTCCTTACGGCCCCTTGCGGCCCCGTCTAGGCCCCTCCGCGGCCCCGTCTGGCCCCCTTACGGCCCCGCCTAGGCCTCTTACGGCCCCGCCTAGGCTCCTTACGGCCCCTTGCGGCCCCGTCTAGGCCCCTCCGCGGCCCCGTCTGGCCCCCTGCGGCCCCGTTTCGGCCCCTCTGCGGCCCCGCCTAGGCCCCGCTGCGGCCCCGTCTGGCCCCTTTATGGCCCCGTTTAGGCCCCTCTGCGGCCCCGTCGCCAACTGCGGCCCCGCCGTCACCCGCGGCCCCGTCGCCCTACCCTAGCGGCCCCAACACCGCTCCGCCACCCAGCGACCGAGCTGCCGAGCAGCACAGCAGCCGAGCCGCCCAGCAGCCGAGCCGCCCTGCAGCCGAGCCGCCCTGCCGCCGAGCCGCCCAGCAGCCGAGCCGCCCAGCAGCCGAGCCGCCCTGCCGCCGAGCCGCCCAGCAGCCGAGCCGCCCAGCAGCCGAGCCGCCCTGCAGCCGAGCCGCCCTGCCGCCGAGCCGCCGAGCCGCCCTACTGTCTAGCAGCTGCTGTTCCTACCGGTGCTTCCCGGCCCCTCCTTCCTCGGACTAGTGAGCTCACTTCCTCCTAGGCCACTACAGTCATGGCTACCCCCAGTGTCCTCACGTTTGATGCTGAGGGCCGTGCCGTTGACTTTGAGGTCTGGGCCGATGACCTCCTGCTGTTTCTTCAATGCGATAGGGCGAACGGCCCCTCCCTGTTTGACCTCACTTCTGGTGCCTCTCCTGCCCCTGCTGCTGATCCTAACGCCACTGTTCGCTCACAGTGGGCCACGCGCAACCCTGCTGCTCGCCTTGCTGTGCGCCGCCACTTACCGACCACTGAAGGTGCACACTTTAGCCAGTACAAGAGTGCTCAGACCTTGTATGACGCTATAGTTGCACGCTACTCTTCCCCTGCCACTGCTGCACTGAGCCGCCTCATGCTACCGTACCTCTTCCCTGACCTTGCTGCCTTTCCCACAGTCACTGACCTCATTACGCACCTCCGCACTAGTGACACTCGCTACCGCGCTGCGCTTCCTGCTGAGTTCTGCGCCAAGAACCCCCCCCCCCCCCCCCCATGTACATCACCCTCCACTACATAGTCACCCGGCTCCCTGACTCTCTCCGCGTAGTCAGGGACCACTTCCTCTCAGTTTGCCCCACCACTCTCACCGTTGAACTCCTCGAAAAGGCCCTCCTAGCAGCAGGATAGAGCATAGTCGATGTACGAGCCTCTCGTGGTGACCCTCGCACCCCCGTCTTTGAGGGGTGTTCTCCCTCCCCCCTCTTGCCCTCTGTTGCCTCTGCTGCTGCGGCCGACCTCGTTGGTTTCGAGTCGGTCGGCGCTGCGTCTGCCCCGAGCATGAGACGCCGCACCGGCAAGGGCAAGGGGGGCAAGGGCGCTAGAGGGACTGGAGGGGGCGGTGGAGGTGGTGGTGGAGGCAGTGGAGGGAGTGGGGGTGGTGGTGGGAGTGGTGCTGGGGGTGGCGGCGGCGCCGGCAGCAGTGGAGGAGGCGGAGGCGGTGGAGGTGGCGGAGGGAGCGGAGGCGGCGGAGGTGGCGGAGGAGGCGGAGGTGGAGGAGGCGGCGGAGGCGGCGGCGGCGGCGGCGGTGGTGGAGCGGGTCGCGACTCTGCGCAGAGGAGTGGCTCTGGTGGAGGTCTGCCCCAGTAGCAGCGGAGTGGTGTGACCCTGTCCCCTCAGCAGCTTTGTGAGTGGTACACTGCGCGTCAGCGCGGTGGGGGCTTTGGTCCCTCCGCTTACGTCCTCCGTACCGGCGACCGCGCTGGTGAGCAGTGCGGCGGCCCGCACTCCACCCAGCGCTGCTTTGGTCGCCTGACGGACGCGTGGCGTCGCCAGTTCCCTGAGGCATCAGAGATCCCTCGCTGGGGTGATCTGTCTAAGGCCGGGGTTGCTATCTTTGATCTTGATTTTGATGCTATTCTTGCTGCCATGTATGCTATTGATAATAGTGTTGCGGGTGACTATTACCTGTGTGTACCGCCTGACCCGGGCATTGAGGCCACTGCTCTAGGTGCTGGAGAGCCTCTTCAACGGAATTACCGACCTGGCCGAAGGGGAAAAAATCCAAGCGTATACTGAGGGGCTAAAGATGGAAGTCCGCCGACAAGTGATTGCCGCAAATTACAACAACTACCGCGACATGGTGTGTGCAGCAGAGAGATTCGATGCGCTAATGCGATGTGAGCCCGAGACACGACGCCACGTGCCGAACAGATCATTCGACACAAAGCGATCGGCACCACCCACGACCGCCGACCCGATGGATATGGACAAGATCGACGCGAAGCAACGGTTGACATAATATGAGAAGTGCGAATTTTTCGGCGCAGCAGGACATCGATTCTTGGCGTGTTGGAAAATGAAGAAGGCACGAGCGGAGCTGCAGGGCAACAACAGTGCGACATCCACGATGGCGAAAAAAAGAGGACACGATGGCGCGAAATTAAAACGCCACGACCGGCCGGCAAGAGGGGAAATCGCCGAGACAAATGGAGGCTCCGCAAAACAAGACTCTGCACCGACCGGGAAACTCCAGCCGAACACCCCCGAGAGTAAGAATATTCCCTCTCGAGGTCTTCAAGCCTTAAAAAAAATTCAGGGGAGATTTCAAGGCCAAGGAAAAGCCTTCAGACATTATTCAGGTACCTCAGAAGTTGGGCAAACCACTCCGGAGCGTTGAAAAGGGTCGTGCGTTCTAAGGAGTTCATATTCTCTCCTCGCAGCATAGAGTTAAGGCTCCCCATTGCCCACGAGAGAAGCCTACACACCTGCAAAAGCTTAAGGGAAGGTTCCAAGCCAGGACGAAGCTGAATCGGCCTCTGATAAATCCTTCTAACCCTGCTCAGTTGGAAACTGATACGGCGTCAGCAGCTTCGAGCACAGGACCGAGGGATGATCTATTCGACGTACCCTACGATCCTATACGCGAGACCATCTACGGTTACTCGTAACAGCAACAACCACTACTACTCGAGGTGATCTGCAACGAGCGACGCCTGCAGGGACTGGTGGACAGTGGTGCGTCCCACTCGGTGTGCGACCGCAGGACGTTGGAGAAAATTGGAGAATTTTCGGAGGAGACCAAGTTCTCGGCAACAATGGTGGACGGTACAAAACTTCCCATCCACGGTGAAGCATCACTGCAGCTGCACATAGGGGCATTGAGGTGGAAGCCGACATTGCCGATCACGAACATCAAGGGTTTAGATTTCATCTTGGGGCGAGATTTCCTGAAGCGGTTCAACCCCGAGATCGACTCGGTTAACAAGAAGGCGTGCATCTACAACAACGGGAAACAAGTGGAGCTGCGAAGCTGGACGGATATAGGGAACATTCCTGAAACGACACTGGCACGGTTCGAACGGACGGTGAATGAGAGTAACACGGGTTACTTAGCACTGGTTATGGCAGCAGCAGAGAAGGAGAAGCCGAGTTTGGAGCTACCTGCAGCAGTGAAAGAGGTCTTGGAGCAGTACAAAGATATAATGCCCGACGACCTACCCGCAGGAGTACCTCCAGCACGCACCCACGAGCACGAGATCGTGGAGGAACCACGTGCGAAACCCGTCTCACGTGCACCATACCGACTGAGTCCGACCGAACTCACAGACATGAAGAAACAGATAGAGTATCTACTGGACAGACAACTCATCCGCCCATCCACCTCTCCCTACGGTGCACCAGTCCTCTTCACTCCAAAACCAAACGGTAGTTTACGGATGTGCATCGACTACCGCGCACTGAACAAATAGACAGTCAAAAACAAATATCCCATACCGCGCATATACGACCTACTGGACCAACTGTGTGGTGCAACAGTCTTTTCGAAGTTGGACCTACGGTCGGGTTACTGGCAGATCAAGATGGCGGACAACTCGATCCACAAGACGGCGTTCCGTACCAGATACGGCTCCTACGAATACTTGGTGATGCCGTTCGGACTCTACAACGCACCAGCAACGTTTCAGGCGGAGATGAATCACATCTTACAACCCCTGCTGGACGAGTGCGTGGTGGTGTACCTGGACGACATTCTCATCTACTCCAAGAACATGAAGTAGCACGTGGAGCATCTGCGGAAGGTGTTCGAGATCCTTCGGAAAAAACAAGTTCTATGTGAAGTTGTCGAAGAGCGACTTCGCCCTGAAGAAGGTGCAATTTCTCGGGCACATGGTGAGTGCCGACGGCGTACACGTGGACCCACGGAAGATCGAAGCCATCCAAAAGTGGAAAGTACCGGAGAACGTGAAGGAATTGCAGCCGTTCCTAGGCTTCGCCAACTACTACAACAGGTTCGTGCCGCAGTACGCTAAGATAGCAGCGCCATTGACCGGCCTACTGAAAAAGGGTACGCCCTACAAATGGGATACCCTTCATCAACAAGCCATGGAGCAGCTACAGACAGCACTAACTACAGCGCCAGTACTCATCTTGCCGGATCCAGACAAGGACTACGTGGTGGAAGCAGACGCTAGTGACCAAGCAGTCAGAGCAGTACTGATGCAACATCACGAACGCAGTTTGCAGCCCATCGCCTACCTCAGTAAGAAGCTGTTGCAGTGGAAGAAGGACTTAGCTGTAAGACAGGAATCAGGAAAGATTTGGGTACCGGATTACGCCCCGCTACGGCAGATCCTATTGGAGGAATTTCACGACGTACCTTACGCGGGACATTTCGGGAGCAACAAGACGTTAGCAGGGATAGCGAAGTATTACTACTGGCCCGGGATGGCAGCAGACGTGCAGCAGTTCGTCACCTCTTGCGACACGTGCCAGCGGATGAAGAGTAGCAAGCAGAAAAATGCAGGGTTACTTCAGCCTCTACCCGTACCGGAGCAGCCATGGCAGGTCGTTAGCCTCGACTTTATCATAGGACTTCCTTCGACCTCATGGGGGCACGATTCCATCCTCGTAGTCATCGATAAGTTCTCCAAAATGGGTCACTTCATACCGACCAACGCCACAGCTACAGCTGAAGCAACTGCTCGCCCCTTCTTCGACCGCATCATCACCATCCACGGCATCCCCGCTACACTCATCTCAGACAGAGACCCCAAATTCACGAGTAAATTCTGGAAGGAGCTCATGGGACTGTTGGGGACAAAGCTTGCAATGTCTTCAGCATACCACCCCTAGACTGACAGACAGAGAGAGCGACTCAATCAGGTGGTTAAACAGTTACTGCGCACAGCTTGCAAGGACGACGTCAGCCACTGGGACACACAGTTACCGACCCTAGAGTTCACTTACAACAACGCATCACATGCGGCCACAAGGAAAACTCCTTTCTTCCTGTGTTACGGATGGGAACCACTCACACCACAGCAGCCAACCACACCAGCACACGTCCAAGCCGCACATGACTTCGTCACCACCATGCAGCAGCTATGGGAGAAGACTCAACGACGTGTTACCACGATGCAGAACTCCCAGAACCAGTATGCCGATCGTCGGCGATGAGATCACTCAGTAGCAGTCGGAGATCAGGTGCTTCTTAACACGCGCAACTTGAACCTGTCTCACCTCCCATCCAAACTCCGGCCTCGCTTCTGTGGTCCTTTTCTCGTGGAGGCACAGGTGACACCAGTTACATTCCGCTTGCGCTTACCAGATACATGGAAGCTTCACAACGCTTTCCATGTTCAGCTACTGAAACCCTACAAGGACCCCAACCAACAGTTCCAGGGACGGCAGCTACCACCACCACCACCTGTTCTCATACAGGATGAACCAGAGTACGAAGTGGAGCGCGTTCTCACTCATCGGCGCCGCGGTGGCAAGACCCTCGAGTTCCTGATACGCTGGAAGGGATACGACCCCACTGAGGATAGTTGGGTTGCAGAAGCTGATATGGGCAATGCACGCCGTGCTCTCAAGGACTATCTTGTCAAGGAGGGTGTATCTCATGCCACCCAGCTTTGAGGGGGGGACGTGTGAGAGTACGACGGCTTATGCCAGCTATGCTTGCTCGCTTTTACTTTATGATGCTATTTCTAGCATAGGATAATTATATGCATGCATGAATTGCTTGATTTCCTAGGCTAGGTGCTTTCCTATATTTTATTATAGTTATAGCACCGAGCTAGGTTGCGTGCACCGAATTCTGGCTTTTCGGTTGCCACCGAATTGCCTTCTACCGAATTCAGTAAGGATCTGTTCGGGATGCTTCGCGACCCGCGGAACCTTCGCGTAACACCTGGTTACGGGGCCTTGTGTCGAGCCTATATATAGCCTCGTGTTGTACCCAGGTGATCATTCAATTCTCTCACATTCTCTTTTCTGAGCTCGATCCTAGATCCTCACACAACGCACCCACCTCGGGATGTTCGAAGGGGTGCGCGGGTTCCTCCCCACCAGGCGCAGTGCCACCCCCTGCCTGTTGCTCGCCCTGCCCCCATCGAGGATGCGTCCGTCCTCTATTAGGCTTGTGCAACAGGGTTTCACGTGCTCATTTTCCAGTTCTCACTTTGGTTCCCTTCTTTTTGTCATCCTGCTAGTCCTCTCCGCCTACTTCTCGGTGCGAGCGCTTTTTCGAGCGGTAGTGTTTGTGGTCGCGTTCGTGTTTAGGTAGAGGCCCAAAACTTGTAGGGGTATTCGTGTGGTTCGCGTGCACGCTTCCCCTCGTTTGCTCGCGTTTTCCCCCTGCCATGGCCGGTCGCGAACTGAAGGCGCTGTTGAACAGTGGCGAGCAGGGCGCTACTTACACTGCTATGATATCAATCGCTGGTGCCACTGTGGATCTCCCCCCCGAGTAGAGGAAGTGCTTCTCCGATGATAATCACCCTTTCAGCGCGACCTCCTTCGACTTTCTCGCCTGGTAAATCTACCTTGGGATGGATTGCTTGTTTAGGACGCCTTATGGGGTCGCATCGCGGCTTTGTGTGGCTTGTTTAGAACGTCCACATGCGCGGTCGCGTGCATCGCATTCGCGTTACCAATTCGCCTGCAAAGTTTCCGTCCGAGCCATCTTCTGTTCGCGTTACCGTTGATGCCCTTCGGGTTCGTTTCCACATATATCGCGACAACTGTTCCATGTACTGGCTTGTATAGTTATGCCCGCATCACAACCCGGCCGCGATGTTTTTGTGGCCATATGTTCTTACGTTTCCCGCACAGTGTGGTAGTTCGGAAGTGCGTGTCCCCGTCGCTCTAGGAGGCGATACAGGTGGTGCCCTCCAATGTTGTCGCGGACATCGTCGCGGGTGGTGAGGACGCGCACGTGGCGTTTGACCGTTTGCTTGGATGTAAGCTGGTCGCGTTCTGCATCTGGACCGGGTGAGTATAGCGGGACTAGTCGTAGGCTGGTTGTGCTTTGCGCACGTGTTTGCCGATAAGTGCTGATGCGAGTCGTCTTGTGTCATATTATCATGTCAGGGAAATGAGTGACAAGAAGGCCTCAAACGCGGGCATGTTGTTGCTTTTGCGACCGGACCACCTAGGGCTTGACGCGACTTCACCTTGGAAAACTCGCTTTGTCCGCGTTTGTCACCCCACTACCGCGGCCGAGCATCTTACCGCGATAGACAAGATTGTCAAGTAAGTCTGTACCAGCGGTGCTATCCTAAACCCTTCGGTTGCGGCTACTATACTTCCATGTCTGAGAGATATCATGTGAACCGTGTAGGTGGTTTCACGGTCGCGTTTGCATCTGTCACGGGAGCTATTCGGTCCAGTGCGACCGTTCTGGGAAGCTAGGAGATCCGTCGCGCCTCGTGGACCTGGTGAGTATGTAGAATGTTCGCGTTTGTTGGTGGTCGCGTTTGTTAAGTCGCAGAGCCCTAACTCAACACGCCATCTTTACGGTTTCCTTTCAGGATATTTCTTCCTGGAAGGCCCCTTGCGGTCCACTCGCATGTGCGTACGCGTTTGACAGAGTTCTTAACGACCTTGACGCGGTTGTTGGACACGACCCTGTGCCTCGCATCGCCAAGCCAATTGCCATGACTCTGACTACATTGCGGCAGGATGCAAAACGCGCCGCGGAGGAGCTCGCGTTCAGGTTCAGGTGCGGTATCGCGGACGGCCATGGGTGGGATGCTCATGGCAATGAACGTTTGAGGTCGCACGAACAGCCGGCGGGATCACATGTTTCGGGTCGCGATGCAATCGCACTCAATACAGCGCTTGCTCTCGCGAACGTAGGGGAGGGGGAGCAGGGGAAGCCGGACAAGGAGGAGGGCTTGAGCTCTGAACGCGACGAGGATGCCCCTGTGAACGCGACGCAGGGTCTAGGTGCCAAGAAGGCGCGGGAGGAGGCCGACGAGGCAGAGGGACAGGGTCGCGGACAGGACGAAGGGGACGATGCGGAGGATGACCAGCGCGGTGATTTGGAGCTGGAGTGTTCAGAAGAACTGGAGGGGGAAGAGGACGACGAAGAGGATGAGGAAGAGGAGGAAGAGGTGGAGGATACCCTCGCGACCAACAATGCCGGGTGGGCGGCGAGCGCGGTCGTGGGTGCAGGGAAGAGTATTCATGGTCTGCAGGCTGTGCTCTCCCCCCGTCACGGTAGCGCGATCCCGTCTACAGAGTACGCGGGCAAGCGTAAACACTCAAAGCTGGTGAAGATGGATCCTGCGAAGCTGGCCGCGGAGATCCTCCGCTTGGACGAGCAGATGAAAAATCAGAAGCGCAAGCTGGACGAGGTCGTGTCCGCAAAGCCAGGCACAGAACACGCGGTGGTGATCACGCAGAGCTATGACGAGCTCGTGGCTACGGTGGAGAAGGCACTGCGTCACGTGCAGAACACGGAATGGGTGATGCGCAGGGAAGCCAAGCTGGTCGCGAAGGACAGGGCGAAGAATCGCGACATGCGGGAGGTGCTAAAATGCGCTGCTGTCCGCTTGGAAGATTGCGCGGCTAGCATGAAGGGGGTGGTTGTGGATGTCAGAGGTCCACTGGTGATCCCCGATTGATCCTAGGGAAGGGTTACAGGCATGTTGGCCTGGGGGGTTATGGGCGCACTGACCCGCTACTTAACAAGCCCTTTTATCCCAATGATCTAGTGGTTGGGATTCTGACATGGTACCAGAGCGAAGGTCTCGGGTTCAAATCCCGGTGTGTGTACTTCGGGCATCCCAGTGCGGGGGGGTGTCAGAGGTCCACTGGTGATCCCCGATTGATCCTAGGGAAGGGTTAAAGGCATGTTGGCCTTGGGGGTTATGGGCGCACTGACCCGCTACTTAACAAGCTCTTTTATCCCAATGGTCTAGTGGTTGGGATTCTGACAGTGGACTCCATGGAGAACGCCCAGAAGAAACTGACGGACGAGGTCGCCCGTAAGATTGACAGCGCGTCATCCAACATCGCGGGAACCGCCGAGAGAGCGATCACCACAAGCGGCGTCACCAACTCTCTCAACATCATCATCGCGATGCTTTCCGGGCGTGACGCACCGCGACTAGTCACCGATGGGCCGCAGGGGAAGGAGTCACACAAGGTCGCGGAGAAAGAGGCACGGAAGAGGGTCGCGGAGAAAGAAACGGTGAAGAGGGAGACAGGGAAGAAGGCCGCGGACAAGGACACAGGTAAGAGGGTCGCGGACAAGGACACAGGGAAGGGTGAGAGTAGCAGGGGAGGGAAGCGGCAGAAAGGTCCCGTGGCGACTAGCGTCACAGATCTCCTTAAGATAGGGGGCGCGGTCTTCGTGCGTGCAGCGGGAACCGCCAGGGTGGATGCGGCTGCCGGATCACCGCTTGCCCCCTCGTCGGTTGAAGCTGCTAAAGGCAAGGACAAGGTCGAGGACGCCCCGCCAAACACCACCCCCACCACCACCGCCAACACGACCGCGATATTGCCCGCGGCTGGTAACACCTCCACGGTGCTGGTGGACAGCCTGGACCCAGCTCCATCGCCCCTGCAATCCCCCCCTCTGCATATGTGAAGGCGAAGAATCAGGGCCGCAGTGGTTGTAAGCCGCCTCCGGCCGCGTTGAAGGTGGAACACGAGGACGACGACGACTCAGACGAGAATGACGTTGTTGAGCTGGTGTGGCAGAGGTTCATGGGGCCAAGCGACACCAGCGGCACTAGCGGCAAGCGCAAGGGCTGTGGTATCCGCCCTCCGCCCAAGGGTGGAGAGGGGATGGTGGGCGAACCGTGGCTGGGGGGGAGGCGTCGCTGGCTGGGACATCACTCACTCCAGGAGGTGCAGTACCTGACCGCGATCGCGGTCATGTGTTACGACAAGAAGGTTGACCACGGCCTCAAGCTAATTGCCCAGCAGAGGAGTGAGTGGGCCGAGGACATCTCCGCGGCCGGGACGATGTGCACCGGGCTATTCGCCACCATGCACCTCCGCAACCTTTGCGGCAATGTTGACAGGTACGGTCGTGTGTTCAGTTATTTGTGCACACGGGTTCACAGGATTGCGGTCACGTTCGCGACTAACCATGTCCCGTGTTTTCCCCCTGCTTGCAAGTACCACCACATGTTCAAGGCCTACCACGACTTCACCCGTCCCGGTTCCACCCTCGGTAACGCGGTCGCTTGGGCAGCTGCGGTGGGAAAGGAGGCTGCAGACGAGGAGCCCGATGTCACCGGGGACCAAGTGGGCCTGTTTGCTGGCGCGGTCGCGTGCGCCATAGCCATGGTGTGGGAGACCTGCAACGGTCTCGATCTCGAGGGGGTCATGGATGCTGGATACGTCGCGGCGCAGTGTGTCGGCACTCCAGAAGAGAAGACCCGTGGTCACGTATCGATTGTGACCGCGGTATTCAAGTGGGCCAAGAAGGAGAGTGCTCGCAAGCAAGCACCCGAGGTCACACCGAAACAGATCGCGGAGAAGATAGAGACCGCTGTGGTGAACCGCCTTGGTGCGCGACTTGGGGACCCCACATTGGTCGGTATGGTCGTGCACGAGGCAGTAGATGTGCTGATGACCTGGTGCGACTACAAGATCGCGGCCAAGGCGATGGAGACCAACGGTCTCTATCTTGCACTGCCATACAAGCGTCTGTCCGCGAAGAAGAGGTCCGCGTGAATGGGGTGGTAGTGGTTGTAAACTGTGGGTTCTAGGGACACTTGTTTGTGTTGTTTGTGATAGTATAGGTAGCTTGCCCACCCTGCTTGAGATTTTCTCGCGGTGGTCATTTTGTCTATGCTGTGTGCTCCTTTGTCATGCAACTCTCTTGCTCGATCGCGACCGGCGTTTCACGTAATCCTCGGCACTTTTTGAACTGAGATTTCGCGAACAAGGTCAAATGCATGGTTGAGCCACCAATACTTGAGCGATACATGCTATCGGTTGAGCCAACAGTACTACACACACTATTCGAACGCGTTACAATGAGCAGTTTACGTCTGCTCTGTAACGCAATCGGAACATTCGGAAGCCTCCATTGCGACACATGGTATATTCTCATGAAACACAAACATAATCGCAGTCTACTAAACATCTCCCAAACGCGATCAACATCTGATCTTACCCCCCCACTAATCTAGGCGTGGCATCTGGGCACAATACTGTGGCCACGCGACCGGAAACTCTGACGCGGGAAGGGAGGCATCGATGAAGTGGTCGCGTACAAGCATCCATTTCACACACAACTGCACCTCAGCCGGGGAGCCCTTCTTCAGCTCGCTTAGGGTCACGTCAACATACTTCTTCTTCAACGCGACCCCTTCCGATACACCCGACATGCCCACAGCTACAGACACGAGGTCGAGCTTGTCGAGCACGACCGCGAGGTTGTCCCCTTGCTCCACCCTGTGGGCGATGAAGTCCATGACTCGCTTGACACGGTTTATCGCGTTATGGCCGCCTCCAGCCTTCCCAATAAGCTCGGCCAACCGCGTAACTGCACCGTGGGGCTGGGCGATAAACGACTCCGGACTCTCGCCGATCAGCGGGTGCGTGGACTTGTAAAGCTTCCATCCGTCCGACGGTTTTGCCGCGTTGACCCATGGGAGGACGATCGCGTCCCAAATCATCTCTTCCCTCGTGGGTGTGAAGCAAGGAAAACAGGAATGAATGAACTATGAATGAAGGCAGTACAAATATGAAACCCTAACTGGGTTGTACCCCCTATGGGATACCCCACTACAGCCTACACAATAGTATAAGCTATAGATATGTTCTGACACACCCCCATAGGCAAAGTGGGGGAGAACAAGGGGTCACAAGACCAGTCAAGCAAAGCAAAGCAAAGCAAGCTCAGGGTGGATCACAAAGTCACCACACAGTCCGAGCACAAGAGCAGGGCCAGAGGCCAGTTCACATGCAGGAGTACAGACATATATATATATAAAACTAGACAAGCAAGAGCAGGTATATATATGTCACAGTACAAGTAAAGTCAAGAGAAGAGCAAGTGAGGCAAGACAGGCACAAGACCCAGCTGGGTGCAGAAGCGCTGATGGTCACAAGGCGCGAGTGCCTTGGTGAACACATCATCAGTGTTGGCCTCAGAGGCCACGTACGCAAGCCGCAACTGTCCACGCTGCTGTAGCTCACGAGCAAGGAAGTAGCGAAGAGCAATGTGCTTTGTTCTGTGCTCCAAGCGCTGCTCTCGACACAAGGCCAGCATGGCCTTGTTGTCTACGTACAGCACTGGAGGAGAACGAGGCGGCTCTCCAAGGTCAGTCAGCAGGTAGGTGAGCCAGCGAAGCTCCTGTGCAGCCATGGCCCCGGCGTAGATCTCAGCCTCACAACTGGAGCCGAGAACCGAAGACGAGCGAGTAGACCGCCACGAGACAGAGCCGGAACCAAGGCTGAAGGTGTAACCCTGTGACGACCGCTGCGTAGCCTGGTCGTCAGCCCAAGACGCGTCCGCGTGGCCTGTAAGGACCACTGGACTCCGCCCTCCAAGCACTAGCCCCATGCCCGACGTACTGCACAGGTAGCGCAATACCCTCTTCGCTGCAGCCATGTGCTCTGGTCGGTGTCTCCCAGGAGCAACATAGCGTGCAAGAATGCTCAGAGGGTATGCAAGGTCAGGTCGTGTGCAGGTCATCAGGTACATGAGGCAGCCAACCAGCTCTGCATACGGACCACTCGACTCTACGGACTCATCCGAAGGCAGAGCTGAGAGTGAGTGGCGAGTAGGCAGAGGAGTGGCCTGAGGCGAGGAGTACGTGAAGCCGAAGCGCTGAAGGACCTGCTGCACCATGTGTGACTGAGTCAGGGTAATGGTGCAGCGTGCTCTGTCCCGAGTGATCTGCAAGCCAAGGTAGCTGCGCAGTTCACCCAGGTCTGTGCACGTGTGTCTCTTCAGCAGCTCGGACTTCACGTAGGCGAGTCCAGCAGTGTCGGCTGTGGCAAAGACCAAGTCGTCGACGTACACGAGGATGTAGAACGGCGGCAGTGAAGTGTCGGTGCGCAGAAACAGCGACGGGTCAGCAGTAGAAGGAGCAAACCCAAGAGCCGCAAGCGTAGTCCTCAGTGTGTCGTGCCACTCACGCGGTGCCTGGCGGAGACCGTAGACTGGCCGTCGGAGGCTCCACTGGGTGCCAGGAGGGAAAGTCCCAGTGAAGCCAGGCGGACGGCGCAGCCAGATCTCCTCGTGCAGGCTACCCTGCAGGAACGCAGTGCTGAAGTCGAGAGAGTGAAGCTCGTAGTCGCGCTGAGCAGCTATGTGCAGCAGCACCCGAAGAGTGGTCATCTTCGGGGTGGGAGAGAAGGTCTGAAAGTAGTCAACTCCCTGCCGCTGACTAAAGCCACGAGCGACGTACCGCGCCTTGAAGACAGGTGGAGAGCCCGGCGGCCGCTTCACCCTGAAGATCCACATGCCACTGACGATGTTCGCCCCAGGAGGGGGAACCGCGTCAACGTAGGTGCCTGTGGACTTCCAGGAAGCCATCTCTGCATCCATAGCTGCCTGCCACTGAGAGGAGTAGGGACCCTCTACGGCCTCCGCGTAAGAACGCGGAGTCGGGATGTCTAGTGCATCCGGGTCTCCCTCAGGGGCAAGCAGTACAGACGCGAGATGAGGTGAAGCAGCCGCTAGGCACTGTAACTCCTCCTGCCTGTCCTCTAGGACGTCCGTGCCAAGAGCACACTCACCCCCGACGGACGGAGGACAGACAGACGCAGACTCAGCAACAAGACGAGCAGCGTAGTCGAGACGACAGCGAGCAGCAAAGTCGACGAGCTCAGCGACTAGAGCAGACGCAGCAGTGGACTCAAAAGAGGGGTCAGTGACGACAGTAGCAAGCAGACGCGTGACAGTAGGACTGGCAGCACGAAGAGAGTCCGACTCAGGGTCGGCAAGCGCAGGAAGAGAGGACTCAGGAGGAGAAGGCAAAGGGGCACGCAGGGGAGCAGTGGACGGACGCAAAGACATCCGGTGCGTGCCAGGGACAGGAGGAGGACGCTGACGCGAACTGCGACCACTAGCGTGAGCAGCACGAACAGGCGACGCGGGACGAGACGCAGGCTCACGACGCTCAGCAAGACCTCCAGTAGGACCAGTGTAAGGAGAGGGAGCAGGTAGTGGAGAGGAAGGCTCCAGCAGAGACTGCGACTGGACAGGCGGTGGACCCTCTACTGGAGGAGAAAGACCAAGAACCTGCTGCACGAGCGGAACGAAGTACGGCCGAGGCCGCGCGGCAGCTCCAGACGCAGCAGGGACAGCACCAGCACCCTCAGCGACAGCACCAGCGCCACCCACACCTCCAGCGGCAGGACCAACAGCAGTAGGCGCAGCACCAACGCCCTCAGCAGCTCCAGCTCCAGGAGGACCCGCAGGTCCAGCAGCTCCGGGACCGGCAGCACCCGCACCCTCGACGGTCGAAGAAGCTCCAGCTCCAGCTCCAGCAGCACCTCCAGACTCAGCAGCACACCTCCAGCGGCGAGCGAACCACTCGCGTAGCTCCTGTGGAGAGAGGGGCTCCCGGCGAGACGCAGCAGCAGGAGAAACCCCAGGCTCAGCAGCTCCAGACACAGCAGGGACAGCACCAGCACCCTCAGCGACAGTACCAGCGCCACCCACACCTCCAGCGACAGGACCAACAGCAGTAGGCTCAGCACCAACGCCCTCAGCAGCTCCAGCTCCAGGAGGACCCGCAGGTCCAGCAGCTCCGGGACCGGCAGCACCCGCACCCTCGACGGTCGAAGAAGCTCCAGCTCCAGCTCCAGCAGTACCTCCAGACTCAGCAGCACGCCTCCAGCGGCGAGCGAACCACTCGCGCAGCTCCTGTGGAGAGAGGGGCTCCCGGCGAGACGCAGCAGCAGGAGAAACCCCAGGCGCAGCAGCTCCAGACGCAGCACCCCCAGGCTCAGCAGCTCCCGACCCAGCACCCCCAGACCCAGCACCTCCAGGCACAGCACCCCCCGGCTCAGCACCCCCAGGCTCCGCACCCTCCGCAGTAGCACCCTCAGGCCCAGTACCCCCAGCAGTAGCACCCCCAGGCTCAGCACCCCCGCGCACAGCACCCCCAGAGTCAGCACCCCTAGGCTCAGCACCCGCAGCAGCACCAGAGTCACCAGTAACCTCGACCGGGTCAACGGCGTCTACCTGGGACACACCTGAGGGGGCAGGAACCTGAGGGGGGAGGGGGTCTACCGGGGGGGGAACCGGCACAAGGAAGTCCGGGGGAGGGGGGAGGGAAGGAGTGCGGTAGGGGAAGAGACGGTAGAAGGGGACTGACTCGTCGAACGTGACGTCCTGGGAGGACAGAACACGACGAGAGGAGGGGTGGTAAAACTGCCACCCTGGGGCGTGAGTGGGGAAGCCAAGGAAGACACAGGGAGCGGCACGAGGGGACAGCTTGTCCGCAGACAGGTCGCGGACAAACGCCCGAGATCCCCAGACACGGAACACAGACGCATCGCCAACCTTCCCCGTCCACAGCAGGGCTGGGGACATCGCAGGCCGAGAGACCCGGGGGTGAAGGTTGAGCTGATGCGCCGCGTACCTCACAGCAAACGGCCACAGAAAATGGGGGGCAGCCGCATGCATCATGGACGTACGAGCGACATCCATGACCATGCCAATGCGGCGCTCAGCAATCCCATTTTGATGTGGTGAGTCCGGAAGCGTG